TTGAATGTCGTAGACATAACGATATTTTTCGTGTTCCACCCGCTTGTAACGCTGCAACCCGTTACAGGCTATGCCAAAAAGCGTACAATTCCCCCCCCACCACGACGCCAGTACAGAGTTACGCGGCTGGCATATTAATCGGCTCACGGCCCTAGTCTGCGGCTAGATATTCCGCCTGCGCCTATGGGCCAGATTAGTTGAGGCGCTATATCTACGCTGATATTAATCGCTCGCCGGCCTGATATTACATAGATGGTCAAACTCGCGCTTAGAGGATGCCGCGCCCCTAGATATTGCGCCTGGCCTATGAGGGCCCAGTTAGTGCAGGCCCGCACTGTCTACACGGATATCGCTCGCCCCCCCCGCTGAGATGTTACGCCCATGGATAATTACGCCGCTGCCTATTAGGGCCCAGGTTGTGCGGCGCATAGAATATCAATCATGTCTAGTTATTGCCGCCTCACGCATGTGGCCCCAATTAGAGCAGAGGCTTAATATCTAAAGCGGCGGCACATCCGAAGGTGGCCTTCATATCCCATATGCAAACGCGAAGCATGCCGCATGCTTCACGCATACGCGAGGCCGAGCCGGTTTAGATGACCTGAATCGCGTTTATAAATAATTGGTTGTGACGCCATGTGCAGCCGCCAGTTCAGTAACCTGAATCGCCCTTTATAATTGCTTTGTTGACGCCCGACCGGATGCCGTTTATGACCTTAATCGGCTAATAAGTGCCTGTTGACACCAAATACGGCTGCGCGCCGCCCGAGCCGTGCCCTGTGGGTATAAAAAAAACGCGAGCGCGAAGGCGTATTGCGGGGACTCCGCAGCAACCGCGCTTTACGACAGGCACGGACCGAGCCACTGTAACCTTCCGCAATAAAGTACTGTCTAGTCATGGAAATATCTGACTTCTATATATCGATATGTGTTTTTGGCTTCACACACATTCTACTGCATACAATTAACAATAGCCCTCAACACACCTAGCGTTAAAACTTAAACGTTACATTGGTGCCGTGACCAGATTCGAACCTGGGTGCGCGGTACTCCCTTGCCCGCTACTACCGCTACACGATCACTCGGCCCATACATCGTGCCAAGCACTCACTTCAGCGTCTTACTTGAGTCTGACTGACGATCCGGCCCCTCCAGACGCATAACAATACAAAGCTACCGACCACCCCTGCCACGGGCAAGACCTCGATTCACTATTTTCCGAGTATGCCCCGCTAACCATTCTCGAAACCACAACAGCCGAATGGGTTCCTTCGACCCAATAACGCCTACCCTTCAGTCCCACCGCAACGAACTTCCAGGTCCTACCTTGTCTCCAAGACCCCATCGCCCCCACCTCGGCATAGTACGATCCCCCCCTCAAGGCTCGACATCACCCAAATAACTCGGCCGACACACCTTTCCGACCCCCCATCCCAAAGGCTTCCCCACTGACTCCCATACTTACCGGCCCCATATCTCTCTCGCGCTCCCACCAGTGCGCCGCTCTACACCCACACCAGTCCCCTGTCCAGCACCCCCACCTCGCGTCGTATAGATTCATCTCGGATGTACCATTTCCGTGATTTCAGCGAGCGAGTACCCTATCAATAGCCTATTATTTGTAATCATACCGGCATAAGGATAGTTTTATAGCATGGACGACGTGCAGTGTGTGCACCGCTAGCACTAGTCTTGCTACTCCATAGAGATCATTGTATCACTTCGTATTCGTAAAGCGCACTATCGCGAACATGCGCTCCAGCTATTTCCATGTATTCCGATGACGCCGTTTACAGCGCTACTCGTACACTACTTATTCCGCGGCTCTAATAAAATGTTACCGCGCTCTCTAACCGGTTCACGCCGCTATGCCGGCAGGCCGCTAATGACATAGTATCATGTATGATTGTTCATTAATGTTATCAGGACCATATTGTCCTCAACGGTCACGACGGGCGGGATGCCCGCTGCCGCCGTCCACCCCCCCCCCCCCCGCAATCTCCACGCCCCAGCGGGTGTCGGCAACGCCTGCACCTGCGCGCCCTCATGTCTGCGGCCGCCATCTGCCCACTGCCCCCCGCCGAGTGCCGCGGCGGCTGCCCGCGCTGCCCGCCCTCTGCTCAGAGGCCGCCGTCGCCTACACCGGATGCTGCGCGCCCTTTCCCGAGTGCCCTGCCACCTGACATCGTCGGCGCGGCCTACGCAACGCTGCCCGCCTCAACGACCGTCCGGCCGTAGTCCCTTCTGCGACTGCCGCCGCCTGCTTCTGCACAGCGCTGCCAATTTGCGCCGCCCTGCCCGTCGCCGCGGCGCCAACATACCAGGGCGCTCCAGCCAGCCGGAGCCGGACGTACGCGATATTGGCCATGGCTGCCACCACCACGGCCAGGCGGGTGCGAACACACCCGCCCGGCCGGAGGGCAGCCGATCACCCACAACACCTGGAACGGTGACCGGCCCAGTCTACAATGAGCGAGTACTACCGCTGGCCCCTTCACCCGATGGAGGACCCTTCCATGCGAGAATGAGGACGAAGGACGACCAGCTGCCAGGAAGAGCTGCAGCCCGCCAGCGCGAGGCCGACGAAGACGTACACCCACGTACCGCGCCTTCCATGAGGGGAGCAAGCGACCGAGCGACGACCAGCTGCAGGAAGAGCTGCAGCGCCAGCGCGAGGCCGACGAAGACGTATGCCCACGGTACCGCGGCACCGTCATCACCCCGAACACTACACGGGGCGACCCTTCTTCGGATGCGGGACTAATGCATGGCATCAATCCCGCCCCCGTCGTCGTCGACGGCAGCCTGCAATTCGACCTCGAGCTGGATGAGGACCTGGACTTCAACGAGAGCAGTCGTCGGCCTCCTTCGTCGCGGGCGGGGGGACACCGTGGACGACCCGCCTGCCGCTCTACGACGTTTCGCAGGTCAGCCGCAGGCGGATGGCCCGACACCACGTTCAATGCCTCCCACGTCCGCCAGATGACCGCCATGGCCCTGGTCGACATGGCTGCCAGGGCCGCGATGGCTGAGTCACCCGCCTCCCCTCAGCGCTAGGAGGATTCGACTGGCCGCATTTTAGGGCCGTTAAACGCGGGTATCCGCTACCATTTATAGTTATACATTTACGGGTTTACGGGTTTACGGGTATCAGTAGCTCTGTACCGGTTGTGGGGTCATGGTTGCAGGCCACACCGTAGTATGATTTGTAGATTATAAATCTTATGTATCGGTGGTAGCCTATGGTCGCGATTACCGTGACGCCGTGCGACCAGCCAGGAGACTGGCAGTCGATGCTCCGTAAAACGCGACATCGGTCTAGTGGGAGGTTCCACCGCGAAAGTGTAACGCCTGCAAAGCGTTACAGCGCAATAAAGGCCCTACAAATTCCCCCCCACCACCGACCGCAGTACAGATGTTACGCGGCTGGATATTAATCGCTCACGGCTAGATGCGGCTAGATATTGCGCCTGGCCTATAGGGGCCCAATTAGTGAGGCGCAATATCTACGCGGATATTAATCGCTCGCGGCTGGATATTACATAGATGTCACTCGCGCTAGAGATGCGGCTAGATATTGCGCCTGGCCTATAGGGGCCCAGTTAGTGAGGCGCAATGTCTACACGGATATCGCTCGCCGGCTGGATGTTACGGCCCATGGCATATTACGCTCTGCCTATAGGGGCCCAGGTGGTGCGGCGCATAGATATCAATCATGTCTAGTTATTGCGCCTCACGCATGTGGGCCCAATTAGAGCAGAGGGCTTAATATCTAAAGCGGCGTCACATCGAAGTGGCTTCATATTCCCCATATGAACGCGAAGGGCATGGCGCATGCTTCACGCATACGCCGAGGCCGAGCCGGTTTAGTGACCTGAATCGGTTTATAATTGGTTTGTTGACGCCATGTGAGCCGGTTCAGTAACCTGAATCGGTTTATAATTGGCTTGTTGACGCCGACGATGGACCGGTTTAGTGACCTTAATCGGTTAATAAGTGGCCTGTTGACACCAATACGGCTGCCGGCGGCGCGTAGCGTGCCTGGTGGGTTAAAAGCCGGGAGCTGCGAGCGGTATTCGGGGAGGACTCGCAGCAACCGCGCTGTTACGACAGGCACGGACCGAGCACTGTAACCTTTTTCGCCCAATAAAGTACTTCTAGTCATTGGAAATATCTGACCTTCTATTGATCGTTATAATGTGTTTTTGGCTTCACACAGCATTCTACCGACTTCATACACTTAACACCATAGCTCAACAACTAGCGTTAAAACTAAACGTTACACCGTCCCTTAGCATTGTTTTGCCACCAGACATAAGGCTGCCTTGCGGTGACGAGCTTTGAAGTGAAAAAAACCATCCGGCGAAATGAGGACCAATAGTTGCATGCAGTCATTACTTTTGTACACAACCATGCATACGAGCAACATTGTAAACCCCGGCCTCCCTGATTTTATCACCATATGAACTGATTGTTTGACACTCGTCGCGATTTCGCAAAGCATATTCTTGACTTTTCGTTTGGGAAACACCTTTACCGAAGTAATTAGACACAATGTCTGGCCTTCTGACAGACATTATTAGAGTCAGTGGCATTAAAATGATTGAAAATTTTAACAAAATCATGCCTATGAAAAAGTGCTCTGGCAAGCCTAAAATAGCTCCCTTGTAAAAAAAATTACGAG